CAGATTTTCTCTAAAATACAGTTGACAGTGAAGGATTTGATCTCGCCAGTGGTGGAATGTAACATTTACTCAAGAACTGTACTAAAATACAAATTTGAGCTACTTGTACTTTACTTGAGTATTTTAATCTCGGGCCACTTTACACTTCTACTCCAATACACTTCAAAAGGATATATTGTTATTGAGTGAGTTACTAGTTACTTTACAAATGAAGCACACAAAACATCAGAAAATGTATAAGTGCAGCTGACTAGTATTCGGATAATCGATATAGATATTCTAATAATTGTTAAGTCATTTTTGTGCAGAAACTTTAGAAATGTAATAATGTGCTGCTTTTCCTTTAAATTATTGTTATAATTTTAATAATTTTATTAATTATTGTAATAATTAAAATTACTTTGGTCATTTGAGGTTTGGTCTGTTGGGACCAAACAAGCATTGTGAAAGAGTCACTGCGGGCTCTGGGTAATTGTGACGGCATTTCTCACTATTTTCTCACTATCTTTACAATTACAGCACCCAGTCTCTCCTGGAAGGCACTGTGACAGAAAAAGTAACAGAAGTAGTTGGATAAAGAATGAAAAGAACAGGGCTTAAGGCAGACCTGGCCTAGTTTCTCACTTCCACACACCTGAATGACCAATCACTGCGTGAAGTTGGGGTCAGTGGGATTGTCCACTAGGTAAAGTTACAGGAACGGTCACCACCATAACCATAAATTACTTCTGGAAAAAGTATCCAAATTGTTGTGTGCTAGACCTTAAATCAAAATATCAAAATATATATCCTAAAATAAATGTGTAATCAAAATTGTTGTGCTCAGTGGTGGTCAATCCACTGAGTGACAAGCTAACATTTGCCACACAGCAAACAGCCGCAGGCATTCACCATATTTTCCTCTAAGGTGTCAAATTGAAAATCCCTCCTCCCATTACTTTCCAGATGGTTTGGTGTCATGTTTATCTGTTCAGCGCAGTTTGCCAGTTTTCTCCGATCTGCGTTGGCAAAGAGAAAAACAATAACCCAGCTTATTTAGGTCAACAGGGGCAATGGTTCGGGGAGTGCATTTTAGGAATCCTGCACACTGGAGTACAATGCACGGTCTGCACTGCTTATACAATTCTTAAATTCAAACAGGTGATTACAGATCAAAATTTGAAAATTAACAGTGGTGTAAAATTTTGCATAAAAAGTGACAGCCATGTTCTGTACTAGCTGAAACCTTGGCATGTTTTCCACTGTCCCTGCAGCTGCTTGTAGTTCAATGCCCTGAAAGGTACTAAACTCCATTCTGACATCAAACTGGATAATATAATGGTTGATAACCAAGAGGACCAGCATGTGAAGGTAAAATGAATTGTTATTGATGTGGCGCGTTAGCCTCTGAAGTTTTAAGTGGGATGAGCATTCAACCTTTTTTCTAACCGGTGGGTTTAAATCTGTACAGCTCACCTGTTCATGCATTTGCAGTTTTGTGACGTAATAGTGCTCCAGTGTCTGGAGAGTATCATGTCAGATGTTTTCTTGGTCCCCAAGGTTTGGCAACATTTCTTGTATTTGTCTCTTGGGCCCCTGGACGTTCCCCTGGGCCGCCCACTCTCCGAGGTTGCAGACATGGGCGCCTCACATTATTGTACCTCGCAGACAGCCTGTGTGCTGGAGAGAGTGAATATCTGCTGCTGAGTAATCTAATATAACTAGATTTGATTGTCCAGCTTCACACAGACAGACACAGACAATGTCCAAACCATATGCAGTCTGCGGTCTAAACCCAAAGGAATACTTGATTCTGGCTGATGCCGTTATATATTTTCTCTTTTGGCCAGGCCGCGGACCACCACCTCCGTGATGATATTTATATAACTTCAATATTGAGAACCGTCATTCTGAGGGGGCAAAATGGAGGCTGATAAACATAGTGTACTGTTGACAGACTAATTAATATACTGTAATTTTATTTGCTAAATCTGCCTCTGGTGAGCTTTAGTGGTGGTAGTAGGTGGATTCTGTTTTCATCTGGACAGAGTCAGGCCTGCTGTTTCGCCTTAATAAGCTAAGCTTCATATCTTAAATTTTTTCATCAAACCCTCAGCAAGAAAGCAAATTATTATTTCTCAAAATGTCAAGCTATTTGCTTAAATGCTTTGTATTTAACTTACAGGAACTTGTAATAGCCTGAACAGCAATGCATTGGCCTCATGTGTTATTAGTATCTAGCAATCTCTCTGCCTGTCTATGGCTTTCCTGCCTCTTAATCAAAGTGTTTGCTATCGCCAGTTCCACTAGTGAGTGTAGCAGAAGAATGAGTCTATGTTTGCTTTGTTCGATGTTCCTCCCTCCCTCTCAGCCTGTGCCAAGAAGGCAGTATAAGTACTATATTAAAGAGCCTTTGTGCCCGACATGCTCACTTCAGTTTGTGTCCAAGCCACCTGTATTTGAGCACTCAGCAGAGTGCCTGCCACATTTTGGGGTCACTGGGGCTTCTACTTCTTCAAGGTGGTCCAACCTAACATCTGAAATACCACCATGAACTGGGCCTTCCTTGAGGGCCTCCTTAGCGGGGTGAACAAGTATTCCACAGCGTTCGGTCGCATCTGGCTCGCCATCGTTTTCATCTTCAGGCTCTTGGTCTTCCTAGTGGCCTGTGAGAAGGTCTGGGGTGACGAGCAAAAGGACTTTGATTGCAACACGCGGCAGCCTGGTTGTCACAATGTCTGCTACGACCACTACTTCCCCATCTCCTACACCCGACTCTGGGCCCTCCAGTTGATCTTTGTCACCTGTCCGTCCCTTCTCGTGACACTCCATGTGTCTTACCGAGAGGAACGCGAGCGCAAACATCGGCTGAAGCACGGAGAAGACTGCACCCCTCTGTATGATAACACAGGGAAGAAGCGAGGGGGTCTTTGGTGGACCTACTTCTTTAGCCTGATGTTTAAGATAGCGGTGGATGCTGTGTTTGTCTTCCTGCTGTTCTACATCTATGAGGCCACTTTCTTCCCACCGTTGGTGAAATGCAACGAAGAGCCATGTCCCAATGTAGTGGACTGCTACATTGCCAGGTAAGGGTACCGCTAAGGTTCTAAATTGTTAAATATTCTGTAATCTCAATGGCTGAGCTAGGCCTCTGGCTTATAAAGGAGTTAATCAATCTTAAACTAACGTTATTTGTCTCATGTCTGACCATGTATTCCTCAGGCCCACAGAGAAAAAAATATTCACCATCTTCATGGTGGTGACCAGCTTTGTGTGCATCTTCCTCACTCTTTGCGAGGTCTTCTACCTGTGTGGGAAGAGGTTCTGGGAGTGCTGCAGGGGAGGACCCCGCTCAGCAAGAGAAAACTCCTTCATGATGACCAGAACTCCTCTCACTGGGAAGGAGAACTCAGCGTACAACGAGCCCAAGGCGGTTGACAAAGGCAACGGAGAAGCTGGTATACAGAGTTCAGCCCCAGCATACAGCATTGCAGTCTCCTGAGAGACATGCATCATGTTAATGAGTTTGACTTGAAAATTAAGGTAAAAATGATGTTAGGTAGCTTTTGTATTCGTGGCAAGGAATCTGCAAAATTAAAGAAAATGTTGTTTACAAAGGTCATGTCTTTATTTTTTCTTTAACATGAAAATGATGTACTGTTGTTGTCCCTTAATACTGTAAAGCTGAACATGTATTTGTTTTAAAGGCTTGTGATACGGAAATAACTGATATACACTAAAGGTGATTTGCTTTAAATATTTATATGATTATTTGTTACATGAGATTATTTTGTTATCTGTATTGAGCAAAAAAATAAAACAGCTGTACTTATTCTGAGATATGAGAGCTGCAGTGTGTGTGGGTGTGTTTAATACAAGCTAGAATTGAGGCAAACACTTCTGTATGAAAACACATCATGTCATGAACTTAACCAAGAAATGAAGATTGAATTTTCTAAAATAAACAACCATCCTGTGAAATTTTCTTTGCCACTTATTCCTCTCACACTATTCAAGTATAGACCTGTATGAAAAGGTTTGGAAATCTTTCATATGAAACTGATTACCTGTGTATCATTCAGGTCATTTTTTCAAATGAGGGCTTTGTGAAATGTCCAAGATATCTTCAATGAACCTACAACATGCACACACAGATGGGTGCAGTATAGAGTAAATTGAGCTAAAGGTGGATTACAACCTGTTCAAAAGCAATCAGGAAAAAAAAAGGTGCTCCAAAATCTACATGTAGTTACTGATGGGAGTAACATTATTGACAAAAGTTGATAAAATCACCACTCCTACACCAAGTTTCACACCAACTCAATGACCACATCCTGCATTCCTTCAGAGGACAGAGAGTAGATTTGTAAAGGGCAGTATCATAAAACGGAGTGTATTAATAAGGCAGTGGCAGTAGCACATTCTTACCTGAGAAAGTGAACAAACAAACTCTTCTTATATCTGATTTTACGATATTGGCACTCCATATCTCGGGTGCCAATGGTCCCAGAGTGTTCGTGCAAACAAATGGTAGGTGGTGGCCCTGTTTAACGCTGATTAATCAAAAGCTACAAAGGGGAATATCTCTACATCACAGTTGCCTAATGGACCTGATACCAAGTCACCTGCCACAAAACGTGGTGATCAGAGTAGACAAACACACCTAAATGAGGTCTCTTAAGGTCCACTGGTTTTTTCCTTGTACTGTATCACCTATATTTATTTGCACAAAGTCACTCTCTGAAACTGATTTCCTTGTTTGGTCAAACCACTGATATGTCTTTTGTTGTTTTCTTGGACTTTATTTTTGCAGTATTCACCAATTTCAGTAAGGGTACCACATCACAATAAAACCAGCATAGTAAAAGTGAATTTAAAGCTCTTGGCTTCGCTGAGTGTAAGTTCTAAGATAAATTTATGCTGACAAGGAGTAGCTGGAGGTTTAAAGGTAAATTCTGAATGGCTGCCAAAAAGTGGCCACACCTCTAGATTATGGCCAAGAGTTAATTCTTGTACCCAGTCAATATCAGAGACCCACTGCAGGAGAGAGGTTGCCTGACAATTTCCCAGACAAGGAACATGATGGACTGAGTGGAAGACCTGTTTTCTTTGGTAAGCTGAGACATTTTCAGTCATGGTTTTGTATATTCTGGGTGAGTTATATTCAGTTTTAAGACTATCTGCAAAGCAAAGAATGGGAAATTTAAGAGTACAGGTCCATGTGGACTACTACATTCGGATGAAGGATGAGTGAACATTTAACGAAACTCTTACCTTCAAGCTTCACCTAAGACTTATCTAAAAGTGTATAAGGCTGAAACCAAGTGTTCCTCTGTGCCGTGGAAGGTTTATATGTTGAAGTGTTTCATCAATTATTAAAAGCATCTTTCTTCAAAGCGCTAAACTTTATAAGTAAGTGAAAATTATTTTAACTGTGATATGCAGGAGAGGGGATTGAGGTTTCATAGCTGTCAAAGAAATGGTTTGATGAGAAAAGAGAACACATCTTAAAATTGAAATATTTGGAACATTACAGAATATTTTGTTAAATCAAAGCTGATTATGCACTGTATCAATGTTTTTTTGTGTTATTTCATTCCTTAAAAAACATGTATTTTCATGTATAATAGAATAACTGTCTTTTCTTTTTGTTGTGTTCTAGCACCCCAGTTTATAAAGTTTCCCCCCTGCAACACTTAAAGAAAGACTTCTAAACTTCTAGGGTCATAAGAAGCCAATCAAAGCGGAAGTCATGGATTGGAAGTTTCTCCAGGGTCTTCTCAGTGGAGTCAACAAGTACTCCACTGCCTTCGGACGTATCTGGCTATCAGTGGTCTTTGTCTTCCGGGTGTTGGTCTTCGTGGTGGCCGCCGAGCGGGTCTGGAGCGACGACCAGGGACACTTCGACTGCAACACCCGCCAGCCGGGTTGCACCAACATCTGCTACGATTACTACTTCCCCGTCTCCCCCATTCGCCTGTGGGCTCTCCAGCTAATCTTTGTCACCTGCCCCTCCTTCATGGTGGTTCTGCACGTGGCCTACAGGGAAGAGCGGGAACGCAAGTACCGAGTCAAGCACGGTGAGAACACTCGCCTGTACGACAACACAGGCCAAAAGCATGGCGGCCTATGGTGGACTTATCTGATGAGCCTCTTCATCAAGACCACCTTTGAGGTCACCTTTCTCTACTTGCTCCACTACATCTACGAAAGCTTCAAGCTGCCCAGGAAGGTCCAATGTGATGTCAAGCCCTGTCCGAATATGGTGGACTGCTACATATCCCGACCCACTGAGAAGACCATTTTCACCTACTTCATGGTGGGGGCGTCCGTCATATGTGTGGTGCTCAACATCTGTGAGATTTTGTATCTGATTGCTTCCCGTATGGTGAATCTTAAACATCGAGGCAGTGTCCACACCTCGTCTAGAAGAGTCCGCCCTGACATGGACTGTGATGGCTGCAAGTCATCTCTTACATCATAACGAGAGTCAGTATAGGCAATCGATGATTCGTCTTATACCTCTAATTACTTTACTATAGGGTGATCCTTTTTCCCATTTTCATTGTAATTTTATATATAATTTTATATGTAATATAAATACATTGTATTTTGACACAAACAATTCTATGCACTATAATGATATGAGAATTGTTTTTCCACAAGTGTAATAAATATTTCAGCACCAAAAGAAAGCTGAGTCATTTTGGCTGCTGTACATTATGAAGTAGTTGATCATTATTAAATGAAGTCTGAAGAATTGCTCATATTTGTAACCACTGTTATCTTGATAATACCCAAAACTACTTGTTTTGTTTTTTTGTAATCCCTAGAAAAGGTTGTCAAAGCACTGAAAATAAAGTTTTCTTTTGGCAGCTTTGATTAAACCACAGCAAATGTACGTTCATGTACCCAGATACAGTCTATGCCATTGACTGTATGGTAATCCATACACTACATAAATTAGAGGGCTAAAACCTGCTTTCTCCTTCTTTAATGGCGCCATTTCTCCACCTGGTGGCACTAAATGCATACTACATTGCCTTGTGAGAGACGTGAAGCCCTCAGAAAACATGATTCCCTCTCCGATTTCAATTATTCTATGGTTATTGTACTGCTAAGGAAATGTTGCATTCCTATAATATTCCCAAACTATAGCCTCTGTTCTACTTCTACCTATGGAATCACATAGTCATAGATATCAAAGTATTGAACTATTGTATTGTTGTTACAAATTTTGATTTTATACATTAATAAGTTAGCCTACTATTCAAACTGGTATCTGGTCTTATGCCAGCACAGTTGTCTGGCGTGTTTTTCCAGGCTTTGATCCAGGTGTTGACACCCGAACTAGCATAATAAGTTAACATCCTTACAAACATACAAACATAATTTTAAAGAAATAAAAGCCTTTATGAATATACTTATTTCTACCACAATAGAGAGGGAGGTGCTAACAGGTGCACCTGTGCTGCCACATCAAGGTAGAAGTTCAACACAACGGCTAATTAGCAACCGCGGTTTCAAAATAAAAGCATCCAAAGTAGTCCGAAAGAAGAAATAAAAGTCGGTGTGCACGTAAAGAGCACTGTGGGAGATGAAAAGGTGTTTTAAGTATTAATTAATAAACCACAGATTATTACGCAAACATAATATTAACTTTGGTCATTCTTTGCTTTCGCTTAATCAATTGCACTTACTCCTCAGTTACTGCCATTTCCCTAACTTTCACCTACTGCACGCAATTATTAAAAAAAAAAAAAAAAACTCTTCAAAAATCCACTCTGATAAACTGACATGCACAGCGCGTTCATCGATCATCATATATAATAATCTACTTTAGATAAGGGGAGATTTTATTTTGAAAACTTTGAGCAGAAGTGTAACTTTCTGAGTGTGTTGCTGACTGACTGACTGACTGACTGACTGGGGTTTAGTTTGCAGAGAAGAGGGCACACGCTGATAAGCTCAACACTCGCCGGCAATTTAAGCGAATGGAGACCTAGCAGAGATGGCTGGTACAGGTAATGCATGTGTCTGAGAAGTTTATGTAAATGTGTATAAAGTGCAGACATTTGTTTGTTTAAAACTTTCGGAGTGTTTGTTTGGGTGTGGTGGTGGTGTGGCACAGCAGTCTGAGGAGAGGAGAGGATAGACTCTGGTTCACGTGATGGTGTTGAGTAATGAGCTACATTACTTCCAAATCAAACTAAAACTGCACATTGGAGTAAGTAAGCACTGGGGTCTATTTTGATCACTCATCCTTTGGGCCACATGGTTTAAGTGGGCCCCTCTGAACAGTGTGAAATGCAATATGTCACCTCTGCATGTGTTGTCTCTCAGTGTGAGTAAGAATTCCCCAAATATTCAGTTGTGAAATTGTCTTCTGGTGAAGATGGGAGCGGTGGCCATGTTAAAAATAGAGATCCTGTGTTACATTATGTGTAACTCAACTAACTAATCTCAGTTCTAAAAACATCTAATTCCAACAAAACACTTCATTGAACTAAATTGAACAAAGTCTCCATGTTTATTATATCTCATGAGATTTACCATTTCATTTTCATGGGGGTGGATCATAATTGTGCCAAAACACAAGTTTTTCTTCAGTTTTTCTTCAGTTTGTCACATTTCTGATGGCATTTGCTGTGCTCTGTTTCTGTGTTTTGTAAAAGTTGGGTTTTAGGTTTTATTTAAAATGGTCACTGTTGTGGGAAAGCAGCGTGGCCTGAGCTCCTTTCATGTGTTGATAATAATCCATTGCTGTTTTATACTGGCAGCAATTGTCGATTAAGCATATTTATTCTCTTCACTCCAGCTTTAAGTATGTTCAGATTAATGTAATGCAATGTAGTTTATTTCTTCTTTTTGTTCTTTAGTCAACTGTAATATACTGGTTTGAGAAAGCCAGTATGTGTTCAGCAGCTAATCATTAATACGAGTGACATCTCCGCTGTGGTTTTGACCTGTCTCTGATCAATACAACATGAACAACATGGACCATGTGGACATTATCTGCAGCTCTCTGTTTCTGTATTGTCATTCTTCATATTTTGCGGCCTGGAGAAACCTGCTTCTCTCCCTCCCTCTCCTTCCTCCCTCCCCTCCTCAGGACTGTGTTGTGCCAGTCTGGAGGAACCAAATGCCCTGATGAAGATGGGTCTGAGCATGGTCCTCATTGGTCATGTTAACTTCCTGTTGGCGGCGCTGGTGCACGGTGTGGTGCTCAGACACATCAACCTCCACAAGCAGGCCCGGGCCATGGAGTACGCCATCTCCAATGTGGTGGCTCTCACCTCTGGCCTCGTGGTGAGTGCACAGACGGATAAGATTCATACTGATGCTATAGCAGCTCTGAAATGTCCCAAATGGATTTTAATGGCATTTCTGGAAGTATTATGGAGTATGAGAGAATTCTGCTACTCATTGTTTCCATTAGAGGTAGAGAAAAAGAACCATAAAGGGAAAGCATTTTTATTTCAGTGCTCTCCTCTCAGACTTTCTAATGAGAAGTTGTGGGATTTTCCATCAGGGCTTTGGTTGCACTCTGCAAACCACAAGTTACAAATGCATCCACCTCTTTAGAAAAAGGGGATAGAATTGATCATAAAGTGCCTTTTTAAAAAAAACAGAAAAAACTTTCTTATAAAAAAACAATAGTAAAACAAATGGTTCTTTGGGCTTGTGCCATAAAATATCTTTTCAAGTCCTATGAAACCTTTTGGTAAAACTAATATGTCTGTGTGTCTGTGTTAAATCCTTCAAGTCTCAGTCAAACAAATCACTGAATCCTTCGAGTCATTAGGATTACTTGAATTACTTTTCTGAACAAAGAACACCCATAGAAACCTCTATTTTTATGTACATAGGGAATAATTTCAATTTAATTCTATGTAATTTCCCTTTTCAAAAATGCATAAATTAATATTGTTTGAATGAGTGACATGTTTATCTGATGATCTATCTCAAATTAATTCCAGTCGCTAGTATAAATTAGGTGTAAAGTTAAAGGGCCATTCTGTGATGATTTTTCTTTCTTTAGGTCTCACAAAAACAACTTTTGGCACACGCAAAGGTACTTAAGCACATATTTAAAATGCTTGTAGTGATAGCACAGCTGTGGCGTTGAGAGGAATCCTCTTTACCTTTACTTTACCCCGTGTTGCTACCTGAGTGTGGATGAGATACACTGTATATCATGTGGAATCTTATCATTTATCATTTTGGGGTAATTCTGTATTGTATCTTTGCCCTGTACAGAGAATATACTGGTTGGCAATATGAAGATTCTTTAAATCTCATCTGTCTTTGTCTCCGCAGGGAATTATTGTTGGTATTCTGGCTATCGTCCTCTCGAAAAACAAGAGGAGTAGAGGCCTGGTTAGTATCACTTTCTTTTGCTATTTGAATGTTCTAAAGAAGTGAAAAATCCCATTAATAATACAGACAGCAGTCTATGTCCAGTACGTTCTGACTGTGCTGCTGTCACTCCTTTCCCCTGATGTTGCGTTGATCCCTCCTACTCTACACATCAATACTTTCAAGGCGCTCTCTGCTAATTTTGATCCGTCTGCCTGCACCGCACCTCCTTGCTCTTTGATATTTCCCAGCTTTCTCACACTTTATTCTCAGCTTCTCTCTGTTTCTTTCTAGTCAGGAGAACATTAAAAAAAAAACCTTTGAGCTCCTGCATGCTGCCTCAGGTGTCTGAATGCAGCCCTGTAGTACTGGAATAGTCTCCTCTCTCACTCCTTTCGTTGCAGCAAAGCTTCTCCTCTCTGTTTATTCACTCAGCTGTCGGGCTGCTCAGACGGGACTGACGAGGCGGCGGGCCGAACAGAATGAGTAAGCCCAGGCAAACCTGCCACGATAAACCACTCCCTGCCTCCTTTGTTAGTGAGAGCAACCGTGAACTGGGCAAGTCAGCGCTGACAAGCAGCAGTTTCACTCCTCGTTATCTTATTCAGTCATCCAGACATCACGCAGCAGTAACATATAATCTCAACACTCCTTTTTATGTTAACATGCTCCTTTCACAAATGCTGGCTACTACTGCTTCTTATCAGCCAGACAAATTGCAACAATTTTCTATTGTTCTTATCAGGTTTCGACTCAACAACTCACTCATCTTCACAAAGTGGTTTTAAAGGTCTAGAGACTTTCCTGCACCCACAGCACGTCTCACCTTCTGTCAACTTATTTAAGGATAGGTTCACTCTTTTGCTGCCCAGCGTATGATTAATTATTGCACATAGCTGATAGCTTTAATTTCTAATGCTTCTTACTGGGTGTTTACATAAGGCTGGCTTAGACTTGGCTTAGATATGTGTTTTTAATATCCTGAAACCCCATTAAAGGTCCAGTTTGTAACATGTAGGAGGATCTATTGGCAGAAATGAAATGTCATTTTCATAGGTATGTTCGGGTCGCCTTCCATAGAGTCCACCAGAACGGACAAACCTAACACTGGCTCTAGATAGGGCCCTTGGCGTTTTTCCTAATTGCCACAGTACAAATGCCACTTTTAGTCCCTAGTATGGCAAAAGACACTGGATCCGATGTTTTCATGTTTACCTGTCTTTTCTTCATTTCTGTTTTTCCATATCTTCCATATCTCATGTTGTACGTGCTACCTTATCAGCTCTGTATATATTGTTTATTCTTTGCTATCCTTTTATCTGTTTATTGTTGCAAATGCCCCAAGCCTCATTTTATCAGTCGTCAACTTTTTGATTCCTGATGGTTTTTCCTTGTCTCGCTGTTCTTTCCCCAGACGTGGTCACTTTTCACAGTCGGCCTGGCTGGAGCTCTCATGGCAGCAGCTTCAGCCATTGGACTCTCCGTGTCTGTGGTGAGGGCCATCATTCACGGCGGGCGGAGCCTCCTGACTCACTGCCGCTTCCCCGATGCCATTGGCTACTCCAGCATCACCAACGAGTGTCCTTTTGACCCCACGCGCATCTATGTGAGTTTATTAGTGTGTACGAGAGACTCAGATGAAGGCATGAACTGTAATTGTCTCTGCAGCAGCTGGCTGTTTGAACAGCTGACCATTGTCACTGTGACATAACAGCTGTGTGTGTGTGTGTGTGTGTGGGTGTGTGTGGGTGTGGGTGTGTGTGGGTGTGTGGGTGTGTGGTCATAGGGTGTGTAAGAAGGAGGGAGAGTGAGGCTGGGTGTCTGTCCTTGCTGTCACTCAGTCAGTCACACTCTGTAGCCGGTGGGCTGGTGGCAGAAATGCTGACCTGACCCTGCCGGCCCACTTCAGGCTCTGTCCTGTTCCAGTGTGCTGCAGATGGACTGTCAGACCTGCTCAGCCTCACCGTTGCAGCCACACATCAGCACGACCCTGGCATTTTAGCACGGCTAGTAGTCTGCAATTTGTCAGTTAAATGACCTTTGTCTTAAGCTGGATTTATACACGATGCAAGGGGTTAATGGCAGTCCTGCTGTATATACAAACAGCGTAGGCTTTGAATTATAGCTCAGTGTCGGATTTCACCTATTAATAGCACAAACACATCATTAGACAGATTTACAACCCTGCCAGCGATCCTGTTTACATTCTTTCATTCACTTTGTGATGAAGAGCAACGGTGAAACGTTTGACTCGTCTCATTATTGAATATTAGACCGCTGTGATGCAGTTGCCGTGCTTACAGTACATTCACTGTGATAGAGAGCAGTGATCACCAGGAGCTAAAGAAAAAAACACATTCGATAAATGGTTTATAATACATTATAATCTAGCCGCAATCAGATATAAGTGTTTATTAATGCAATTTTTAACTCATAAGTGGGTGCGGCTGAAAGACAATACAGGAAAGCACATTTGTAATAATATAAAATGCCTTCTTTAGTTATAATTGTTGACAATTACTGTACCTTAATAAAATATCCTCATATTCACTTATATACCATTTATTAAACATTTTATACTGCTAATAAAGGCTAAATAAGGAGACTTAAAGTGCTTCAATAAATATTTTATGAATTTGTGGTTGCTACAAGCATCTTATGGTTTGCTGTAGTTTTGTGTGCTGAGGATGCGTGTGCTCACAAAATAAGGCCAAAGTTGTAATAAACCAGATTTATCCAAGTTCCAAATCAGAAATGAGGTAAATAACTTAGTTGGGAGTCTACTGAGACTGCAGACCATGCTGTTCACTCAGAGGTGCCTATTACCAAGGGACCGCCAATATGGTTGCCGGAGGGTGCATAATATTACTCAAAGAGTGTTGCTGGACCTCTGATTCAGATATTCATAGTTGCTTAGGGCCATTAATGATGGTTGTGCAAGGTTTATTTTTTGGTGCTTCCTGCATATTTCATCGTGAATACCAAAGAAAGCTCCAAACTTAGAATTATAAACGTTCATTCTCTTTGTAGTCTGCATAACAAAAGGCAGTTCTTTTTCTTTTAATTCCCCCTGTACACTTTTACTTTGATACATTCTGCTCTGCATATTTTATTCACAATGATGCCTCTCCTGTGCAAACTGAAATTCTCAGACCCACCGCTGTGTTTTTGCAGTTTATCGCACCATCTGAGAAAAGTAAGGTTCTGTATCACATCATTAGCCCCACTGTAGTATGTGAAGCTGCTCTCGCCTCATATTGTGTTCTTTACGGTCCAGCTGGTGGTTGCCACTAACTCCACTCCTCGATCCCTCCCCAGAGTACCACTCTGATCCTTTGGGTGCCTCTGATCGTGACTTGTGTCGTCCAGATGGTGTTTTCCGCCCAGTGCTTTGCTGTCTGTGTTTCATTCCTGGGTCTGCCTTGTTGCCATAACAGGAAGAAAACCAAAGACTATGGCAGAGCGGTGAGATTTCTACTCAAACGTACATTGTGCTGCTTGAACTGAATTCATTATATTGTGCATAAGAAAGTTGTCAATAAAGCAAAGTTTTAAAATTGGATTTAAAAAACTGTCACAAAATAATTTCTGTTTTTGTGTAGATCAACGTGGTGAGGCCAATGGAGGAAGCCCCTCGCTCTCACTATACTGATCCTCCACGAAGCTACAACGAACCTCCAACACGCTATAGTGAACCTCCAAGAAGCAGCCTTGAACCTCCAGCACGCTATAGTGAACCTCCACGAAACTACCGCGAACCTCCAAGACGGAATACTGAACCTCCAAGACAGCAGCGCAAGCCTCCTCCCCCTCCACAGCATCTTCCCCCTCAGCATCGGAGTCTTCCTCCCTCGGAGAGACGGCCTCTTCGCCAGCCGCACAGAGAAAGGTCAGACAGAGGAAGGCAAGAAACGAGGGTTGGCAGCCAGCAAAGGGCACCGGAGCAACACCAACTGCTGGAGAGGGGTACGCTGGAAAGGTCCAGCTTCTGGATTTAGCCATATTTGTCAGGTCAGAGCTTCTTGAAGATGAAGTGCTGTGTGGGTATTCACTGTAGTTCTAGCTACAATACTTGGATTCCAACATCATACCTTCTGTCAATACTTCAAAACAGTGAATTCAGAGCTGGAGAGGATTTATTTAGCAGTGCAGTGGAACCCAACATTGTCCAGGATCCCAGTTATGTGAGCCTGTCTGTTCTTTTATTTTTGTACTTCTGAGTTATTCATATCAGGATAGACAGAAGAGGCAAATCCTCCAAAGTGAGGACATGGTGCCAATGTCTTGCTTGTACCAGGATTTAGTCAATTCAGAGTTAAAAGAATAGTTTTGACAGTTTGTGAAATGCACTTAGCTTTCTTACAAAGAGTTAGATGAGAAGATTGATACCACGCTCATTTCTTTGTGTTTAGTACGGAGCTGAAACCTAAAGCTCACTACATGATATATCGTTTGTATTCAGCATAAAAACAAGTTGTGGTTTTACTTGGGGTTATGTGCGAGCTAGACTGTTTCCTGGCTGGAAGCAGTGTCTCTTGTTTTCTTTTTTACAGGTGGGTGTTGCTTAGCTTAGCTTAGCTTAGCTTAGCATGAAACTGGAATCGAATCGGGGAGAAACAGCTAGCCTGTCCAAGGTTCAAAAATACCCATATGAGGACCTCTAAAGCTCACTGATTAACAATAGGTTTCCCATTTGATTTAATTTGTTCACAAGCAAATGTAAAAAACGTCAAGTTGCAGTGAAACAGCTGGTAGGTGTGTGATAATGATCCAGGAAGTCACTGCTTGTCACCAAGAAATGCGTATAGCACATAACTTCCCATAAAACCACAACTTGACATTTTAATTTAAAGTTTGTTTGTTTTTTTTCAGGTTTTTTTTTAAAAACTAGGCCAGGCTTGCTGCTGTCATTGTCCCCTGCTTTCAGTCTCTATGCTGGGCTAAGCTTACCACCTCCCGGTACTAGTGTCATATTCAGCGCACAGACGTGAGAGTGGTATCTATCTTCTCGTCTAAGTCTCTGTCAGAAAGATGAAGAGTGTATTTCCTAAAATGTTTAACTGTTCTTTTAATGTTTGAGGTTACATGGAGGCAAGTGCTATAGAGATAAGTAAAGGTCCAAGTGAAGCTCTGTGTGTGTGTGTGTGTGTGTGTGTGTGTGTGTGTGTGTGTGTGTGTGTGTGTGTGTGTGTGTGTGTGTGTGTGTGTGTGTGTGTGTGTGTGTGTGTGTGTGTGTGTGTGTGTGTGTGTGTGTGTGTGTGTGTGTGTGTGTGTGTGTGTGTGTGTGTGTCCTCTACATGTTGTTGCAAGTGCATTGAACCTCTGGCGTGTGTTGCTCTGTTTGAGTTGTTGACAGTCAATTGTATGTACATTTTTCTGCAGTTAGGTCAAGAGAAACTAGTTTCCTGAGAAACTGGTACTGCAAGTTTTTGTATTTATTGCTTAAGTAAATAAAGTTTTTATTATAACTCTGCAGCTATTTTGTGAGGTTTGTATCTGAACTGTCATTATTATATGTGGTAATGTCAGCAGCTAGTCACCTGACAGGTATGACTGGTTACACATGCAGACATCCTGACAGCTTAGCACACTCACATTCACCCAGGGCTGGCTGCAACACTTAAATATATGACAGTAATGTTCAGTTGTCAGACAGGACGTTCGCTGTCTCCACAGTGAAATAATGTGCTCATCCACGCATTCCTTAATAACTAGAAATGAAGAAACAGTCCACACATTGAGCTTTGAAACACATAGGTATATTTCGCTTTCAGGTCCAACGGAACAAACATGACAATCCTCATGTGAGGTTTTCATGCAACAGAAAATAGGAAGGAAAGAAAGGGAGGTTAGGAAGGAAGAAAGAAAGAAGTGGGTGTATTTATCCAACACAAGGTACCAGTTCATCAGAGGCAGTGAGAATAGAAAAGGGTTCAACTGTAGTAGATCAGAGGGTAGCAACTGTTGTTCCTTATCCTACCAGCAGAAGGCAGTGACACTATAGGATCCCCAAAGCAGAGGTGCGGCTGGTTAGGAAGCTCCTGTGCAAATGTTTGGTAGAAGGTTAACCTCAGGTCAGTCCTAATGTCCTGTGGATGCAGCTGCACCAGCACAGCTTTCAGGTTCTCACTGAAAGCTCACTCTGCCACCATTGCACACAATAATTAAAATGTATGAGTTAGTGAAATGTTGGGCAACACATACTGGGCTGATGTTGGCTGTTTTTGTCCTTATCCTTTTTTACTGAGGAAGGGTAGAATAATGGATGTGGTTAAATTTGGGGATTTTGATTATCAGCTTTGCTAAATGGCAGTTGGAAGAACATTTACTTACTACACTATGTAAATACTCTATCAGAAGTAAAAGTCCTGCATTCAAACTGTTTAAGTAAAAAAGCAGAGATATTGGCAACAAAATCTACTGAAAGTACCAAAAGTAAAAGATCTCATTAAGCAGAATAACCCCTGTTAGTGTGATTATTATTAATGAATCACTATTATTGATGCATTGACATGCAAGCAATACTTCAAAGTTGTAGTTAAGGTTGGAACTGTTTTATATAATTTTGGGAAGTTTAATCTAAAACAATAATTGTATTATTTCCTTCTGAAATGTTCTGGATTAAAAGTATGAAGTAGCGTTGAAATGAAAATACTCCAGTAAAGTGGGAGTCATTGAGTGAATCTACGTAGTTACATTCCACCACTTGTACACTAAAAACACTTATACATTATACAATGTCAGCCTGTAAAAGTAAAGAAATGGCAATATAATGGGAACATATTTAACAGGTCCCTTCCTCAAACAAGGTTTCCAAGTAGGACTTACCTAAAATGGGTCTGAGTATCTGCAATATGCAGTTTTACTTATTTTGTCCAGTGTGCCCCACACTTCACAAACGTGTGTGCTGTGTTTAACATCCAAAACAGAAGATGGCAATAGTGATCTGACAATGGGGGCCTTAAATTGTTAATGCATGGGAGTCGTGCTGTGCTGGTGTTGCTGCAACCAGTAGCTCTGTTTACATGTGCACAGTATTTCAGAAGGAGGCTTTTATTCTGAAGCATGTTTTATTCAGTCGAGGCTGTGCTTTCAAACTCTAATATACAGTCTTGTATTTCACTGAAATTGGAAAGATGGATTTGATGCCATCTTACTGCTCCAAATATGAATTAAATATGTTGGAATAGTTATCCCAAACATTAATTAAGGTTAATTTCTATCAGTGCTAATGTAAACAAAGCCACTGATCTTTGTCAGCTTACTACATACGTCAGGAAACCCTGAAAACTCTAATCAGAACAAGTATCTCTACTTGCTCCTATCTCCTAAAACATTTCCCTTCATCTAACTGCTCTGTAAGCAGACTAATCCAGGAGGTTATAAAAGCATTCAGCTAGAGAGTGATGAACGAGCCCTTAGTGAGTTCTCTGTCTGTCAGAGCAAAAGAGAGAGAGAGGGGGGAGGGTTTGTCCCAAAGCAAGACAAATATTTAATCATTTCTGCCTGGTACAGTGCTGAGGAGGCTGCAGAGCTACAAAAAGATACTGCTGTGCGTTGACTGTTTTTGTGGATTTTGTTGTTGTCTGGTTCGTAGGATCATGCAGTATAGTGACAGGTTACAACTATCTTAAGTTTACTGCTCATTGTTGAAGAACTTTAAAATACTTACAAATTAAGAAACAACACAACAACTTGATAATACTGTAAAAGTTATAGCCTCAAGCATACAGTGCATATTCACATGCACACACACATTCAGACCAAATGCACAGCCATACTTTATAAACACATGGAGGCTAAAACGATATGCGCTACTGGTGTCGTTGATCAAATGCATTATGGGATTCCCTTATTTCACTAGAATTTCACAATATTCCACTTCAACAAATCCACAAATCCCAAAGAGATCAATCTTAACTCACATTTTCTCTCTCTCTCTGTCACTGTAAACTGGAATATGGTAATCTTTAACAACATATCAAAGTAAAAGCACAATAATAAGAATAAAAATGAATAAATAAAACAACATGAAGGAGGAAAACAATATGTACAAATGAAAAACAACATTTAAAATTTAAAAATCAACAAAATGCCAGAAGATATCGATAAAAACCTAATGGGATCTTAGGCCTTCTTTTTCTCAGCGAAAGATCATATAGCAGTAAAATCCCAATAACGCCCCAACCCAAACCCTACCCACCTCCATCCCACCCACCCATCAGATCAGACCAGGAAGCTACGCTACATAATACTGCCTTTCAATGTCAGAAAGTGTGCACCATACATGAAGACAAATGTACTTCATCTCATGATATACATAGACGTACAGTATATACATGATATACATGTGTGTTGGAGGACAAACTGAGCCATCCCCACCCTGCAAAAAGTATCCACACCTTGTCATCAGCTCCCTGGAAACCTGATGTTCCAGAGAGAGAGAGAGAGATACTCGGGAACATTAGCGGACGCCACTGTCGACTTCTCATTTTATGTATGCATGTCCCTTTGTTTTCCCCAAATATAAAAATGAAAGTAAAATGATAGAGATGACTTTTCTTAGCCTCCTTAAAATTTCTCCTCCATCCTTGCACATAACAACAACAAAAAAAAGATGAAATGAGAGATTAGAACCATCATGCATTGATTTGAGTGACTGTTTCAATAGCAACAGAGAGGGTGAGGGAGAAAGGGTCGTAGCAGGGCTTAGGAGGTTCAGAACTGGGAGGCCGAGCTGGGGTCGCACTGAAGTAGTCGGACAATGGAGGGGTCACTTTTGGCACCTTTGATAAACTCCTCCAAGGACAATTTGCCTGCATTGTAGATGGAGAAAGGAAAACATTATTTTGAAGTAATATAACCCTTCTTATATGACCTAAGTTGGGTCACATAAACCGAACTTTTTACATAAATACTTAGGCTTCTATGTCGATGGACACATGGATTTTATATATTAATGTTCTTGCTTAATCTTGATGGGATTACTAAAATGTGTCAATATCTACAATATAGTAAGTATATAATTATATATGTACCAACCTTGTCCTGTAAATAGTTATTTTACTCTTGTGATCAAAAACATTGCTCTAAAGCTCAATTCTGAGGCTGTTCTTTACGTTTTCTAATAAATATAGCAATTTCTGATTCAAAATACAGATACAAATACGGCTAATTTAGTTTTCCCAGCAGGCTGACAAGAAATATATTTATTCAGGATAAACAACTAAACTAGTTCTGTGGACATTCAGGATGATAAAATATCAATATAGTGACCGTGTCCAGTTGGGATCTGGAATTTTACCACTTAATGTCTAGAAGAAGAAAGGTGTACTTTGTGTCTCAATGATAAAGAAAATGAGTTTCATTTTCAGTTTTCTATTGAGCTTTTTACTGGGATCTTTGCAGTATTTTGTTTAGTAAGACAAAAAAAAGAAATTGATTTTGTAAATATAGATGATGCACACAGACAATTGGTCGTTCATTCTTCTCTTTCTCTTGCTATTCAGTAAACAATTTATTTGATGTATTTATAGTATAGTAACTGAGGATTTTTTTTTTTATACCCCAATTGTTTTTCTGTTTTATAAATAACGATGTCTTGTAATCCCATCAGGGATGGGACAAATATTTACATGACACAGAAGTAAAACAACTAATTATTGCAGTTCTAAATTGTCTCAAAAATAGTCTAGTTAATTTCAAAGATTATCTTCAATAAACTCTCACATTCATCCTTCATTCCTCACTCCTCCTCTCCACAACATATTCATCCCTGCATGTTGCCATTTCCTCCTCTCACCATCATTATTGAGGTCCATTTGTCTGAAGATCTTATCCGTCCTCTTCTCCGGCGTGGATTCATCCTCTGGCATCTTCATCACAGATGACACCATCTTGTAGATGGCCTGATAGACGGAGAGAGAGAAAGCAGGAGAGAGACAGGGTTACGTTGGGTGGGGGCCAGAGAACAGAAAGTGAATTCAAGCCAGCAGGGACCCATTAAGGAAACTCGGCAGGAGAGAACTAAAACACGAATGAACTGAAAAATAAAGACGCTGTGGCTTACAAGATGCTGATAAACACGCTTTCAGGAGTTCACATGAATCACAGACGTTTGTTACTCCTGATGCCAAGAGTTGCTCCCTGGGCAGCTTTTCCACAAATACCCTTGCAGGGTCTGTACGGCTGTAGAACCACAGTGACACAAATCACACGTGCCAGCAGGGTACGGGGGCTTACGAGCCGAGCTTACTGTATTGATCTGATACATCTTTATCTGTTGACTGATATGAGCGCCTCCAGTCCCCTGATAGCATTAAATTAACCTCTGCAAGTGAGCACAGAGAAGCTCAAAATATCAGCTGGCCTCAGACACGGATCTACAATCAGCTTACGTGCCCATTAAATCTTCTCCATTGGGAGCATAGGGTGTAAAACTGACTGTAGATCAGTGTCACAGCAGCTCCCTCAGAAGGGAATGTGGCATGCATGAAATAAGCCCTCTGTGACATACCAGCTCTACAATTTTATCTTTTGGACTACAAAATGGGAGTTCATATATCCTTTCAAAAAAGGTTGAATAGCTGGGTGTATTTTTATACTAACAGGACAATGAGGCTGCTTCTCACATTTTTATTCTTTTTTAGTCATTTGATGTTGATAATATGTCTGAGTTTGGCAAAATCTATGGAGGACCACAAGTGTCACATAAAATGTGCATTCTATTTATTGATATCAAAAAGGACAATAAAAACAGGTTCTTACCAATTAAAATATGAATCTATCAATAAATAGCTATGTCCAATTAAACGTCTGATTAACAAGAATTTCAATAGGCTAGTTATTTTAAAATACAGTATAAGTTAAGCAAGATTTAATCCTTTTTCTTTTTCCATTTATGCGCTGCAATTTATTTTCCTTTAGCATTTTCATTTATGTGACCCTCAACCACTTTCATGGCTCGCATTTTTCACAGTATAAGCTCTGCTGTGTTAGTAGTGTAAGAGAATAATGATGCTTCCCAAAATGCTGGGTTATTTCTTTAAACACTAGGCAAACTCCATTATTAAGGAAGCCCTTTCGATGCAACTGAAAGCTAGCAAGTGGGTCTTGTATCTAAGTATTTAACAGAAGGACAACAGTGATATCTTACTGTTCCAGAGATTTCTAAACATATTGTTGTATTAAACAGTGTTGGAGTAATACTGCAGCCCTATCTTACACCTGTTTTGGGGGGAAATATTGTCTTTCTATATTGACATTTTTTAAAGATCAATTAATGATTTCATACAATAATTACATACATTCATACATTTATATCTTATTCCATTTTCAGTCAATTAAAGGAACAGGTGGTTACGCTGGATTAAGTCAAAAACTTAACTATATTATGTTGGACATCTTTTCATTAGGGCGTGTAGGGTAAAGATGCAGTCTGCTGTCCAATAATGTGGTGTAAAACAACCCTGAGTACCTTTATCATGACAATCTCTCTCTCTCACTCTCTCTCTCAATGACACAATGGGCGCCTCCTCTCTCATCCAACGGTGCGTAACCTCAATGAGTTTGAGGATAATCCCAGTATTCTGCACACTCAGGGATAAAGTCTGGTTAAATTTAACTCCCTAATCCGTGAGAACCCTGTAGTGCGCACACACTGGTAACACACACACACACACACACACACACACACACACCACACAGAACATACAGCGCGATCCTCAAATTTCGACGTTTGAGTCTGTTTCTTCTCTTCAAGAGTGACGGGATTACATACAGCACTAATGTAGTACTGTACTGAACAGTCTTCATGCAAAGTGATGCTGCTGCCAATGTTGCAATCAGTGTATTAAGTGCACCTACATGCATAGGTGACATTTGCATATCAGTGTTTAAGCTTCCTTGCACATATATGAATGCATTAACTGACATAATTAAAGGGAACATTTATAGTAAGCACTTTCTCTGTCTAATCCTGTCAATGCAATTGTTTGATTGTTTAATCCAAATAAAATGTATAAAATGTAATAAAACATATGCTTCTTAGAAATTTAACGACATATGCACAATGCTGCAGCAATTTGGTGCCAAATTTTTTAAGCATGTTATTGACCACACCATGTGTTTACTAAAATCAAAGTTAACTTTAGTGACTGAGAGATTTATGTATTATATATTCCACATATGTGTCATGCACAAAATCCCCATGTGACTAATATGTATTTATGGTTTATTTGATAGGGACAGATACAGTAAACATAGCCAGGGGAAAACAGCTATCCGATGTTAATATCAAAGTGTTTGTAGTAGATGCTCATTCGCAACACCGGTCCCAAATTTGGGACCCTGTTCTTTGCAACTTCTGCCTTACATTTATAGATCTTAAAGGAAATCCAGTCTGTCTTTAAACAGGAACTCCACAGTTTATACATATAGAGATCTGTTTATGTGCAATGAGGAGTAATTCCTTCTGTAGCTCTGGAGGAGATTTGAGAAAATAACCCTTATTATGCCATCAAGGATATCTCGGCTAAGGCTTGAAAACTGAATATTTATAACAGAAAGTCTGTGTTATTATGGAAATTTAGGAACTTGTGTGAACTGATACTAGGACTAAAAGTTTTTAGCCACGTGAGTGGTGTGGTTGGTGGTTGCTAAAATGTTTTAGCAATATTTATCTCCCGATTTTTCCTCTAGTGTTTGCATAAGGTTGACCTTTTTGGTTTTGAGTGTCTCGACAACTGCTGGATGGATTTTCATACAATTTGGCACAGATATTATGTCCCCGTCAGGATGAACTCTAATGACTTTAGTGATCCCCTAATGTTTCATCATCATCAGGTCAATTTATTTAATTTGTCCAATACTTAGCTAATGACATTCAGCCCAGGTTTATTTTTGATTAGTGTTAATCAGCAAATGTTAGCAAGCCAAAATGTTAAACTAAGACAGTTAACATGGTGAACATCAGCATGTTAGCATTTAGCTCAATGCACAGCACAGCCTCACAGAGCTGCTAGCATGTCTGTGGACTCATCGTCTACGACAGTCTGCTTAAAAAGTTGTGTGGACATCTTGAAAGATGTGTGCATTCAGTAAAAATATGCTATTGGTTTGTATTATGGGAAATGTAGGATCCACTGTTTTTGGTGTTTGACCCAATACCAGACACTGAATGGACCGATTTGGACCACCTCTTGTTAGTCCCCTGACTTTTTGGAAGCGCAATACTAAGTTTCTACTTACTTAAACTGGTCCTTTAAAAATATCTTGCTGAGGCTGTTTCCAAAAAGTTCCTACTGTTGTTTCAGTGTGAGACACATGGTATATTGTACTTTATGGCACTATTTTTTTTGCCTTTACTATTAGCCCCTGACCTCAACTCATCCTTTCCCCCAACCACACCTCATTACCCAGTGTCCCTTGCTCACTTGTACAATCTCCAGCATCTCGTCGCGGCTGATGTAACCATTTCCGTCCAGATCATACATGCTGAAAGCCCATTTCAGCTTCTGCTCCAGCTTGCCCCGTGACGTCACGCTCAAGGCGATGATGAACTCCCGGAAGTCTATCGTCCCGTCACCGTTGGTGTCAAAAGTTCGGAAGACGTGCTCAGCGAACTTGGAGGCATCACCGTAGGGGAAGAAATTGGCGTAGATTTTCTTGAACTCCTCCACATTCAAGGTTCCACTGGGGCAATCCTTCAAGAAACCCTGAGGAAAAGAAGACACAAGGCAAGAAAAGAAGTCCTTTAACTCCTTCTTTCTGTCTCGAGCACAATATAATACATCTATGTGATACAGAATGTACACCAGCAGACCCAAATAAAACCTTTTTAAAGCCAGTTTGAACAATCAGGAATCACATTTCTGTCATAAAACTTCGACCAGTAAATGTTTCATTCATGTAATGCTTCATTCTAACAGATCGAAGAAGTACTTTTTGAAAAGAAGCTTAGTTTTGAATAGTTGAAAGCAGTTCTATCTTCTTTTCAAGGAGTCACATTTGATAAAGCAGCATTGTGCCTGAGAAGAAAAAGGAAGTAAAAGTCATGTCAGTCCCAGTCTTTGTTCCGCAGAAATAAAGTTCTTTTATACAAAAGCCTTTAAGATAGAGGCTGCGAGGTGACAAAGCCATTGTCCTGATTTGAAGGCTGGAATTACTTTTTGATCATCATATCAAATATTCTCATAAGTGAAGGTGGAAAGTCAATATAGTTCTGTTCCTAATAACGCTTTTTTTCATTGCCAGTCCTATTTTCTGTGAGAGAGCGTCATAACTTCTAGCAAGGTTTGGATTTATTGCCAATAAATCCCAAAAAAGACAACCTGCATAAATTCTCAGAGACCTCAGGCACCTCAGCATCCTGTGGAATATACCATTTGGTTTATATGACATCTCCAGCATCCTGGAGCTGTAAATCTGTTTAGAGCGAACACCATCATGACCACAGTCAGTGTGAGGATACCCGGGGTCAGCGAGGCTTAAGTCCCAGGTCAGGGAGGTGATGGTTTAACATCTACAGTCTATTTGGGACAGCTCACACAGCTGTTCCATAGGTTTAATCCATGCATAAAGCCATACAGCCACTACACAAACACACATGCATGCACAGATGAGATTAGATAAGTAATGCGGTCAGGTCAATGTAGCACTTCATCGAGCCAAGTCTTAGCAGACTGGGAGCGGGTGGTGCTTGACCATGGATGGAGACAAACATTTAAGGCTGCTGTCAGTGTTACTGGTTACTGTTGAAACATGTGTACTTGTGTAAGAGCACTGGGTGTGGGTGTTAAGCTTATTACTTGTAACTTATGACGGCTTGGAATTACTTCATAACATAACATTTTCAGTTATTGCTAAGTATGAATCTGTGTTGACAGGTGTTGACCAAAGTGCTGTTTCTCCGAGCTCAGTGGTAACTGAAGTGTTAAATTATCTAAGACAGGTGTACATTTTTAACAACACACAAGCATACTGTTGACTTTTAAACCCAGATAACACTATCATCAAAAAGTCACAATAATAACTTTCATGTTCTATGAATGATTACTATAAACCAAGTTTTTAAATTAACTCAACTTTAATATCAGAAGGTTAAAGAAAAAACTGACTCCTACAGTATTTCTATCTTGTTCCTTAAAGCTGCAGATTTAAATATTTTTTATATTAATAATGTATCAAATGACTATGTGTAATGTAGAGAGAGTCCCTCCTGGTTACAAACCCACAAGGAATTGTTCTTTACAGCCTGCAACTATCATGTTTTGGTTCACTCTCAAGGCTACCATCAACATCTTTTCCTGTGGCAGCTGTTTCTATCAATCAGGCTCTAATAAACTCACTGTATGCTATCTGCCCAGCACCAAATGGCTAAAAGACAAAGTTAGCAACTAGCTGCAAACACTGTGCAGCATTTAGCAGCTAAAGAGCCTCAGGAACTGTGCAGACCAAAAACAGATCTAAAAGGAGAGAAAATATTGGACTTTAATTTAGCCAGAAACACAACTGTGAGTGCTTATGTTACTTCATATCTGCTAGATGTGTAAATTGGTGACTGTATGCTCGCAGGTTCACCCCTGTATGCATTAAAGGGGAAGTGGATACAGCGTTGGAGGCGGGGGTTCATTTATTCTTATGAAAGGAGCTCAGTGGTGCAAAAAAACCCAAAATTTTCTGGTATAAAATTACTCAGAGCTTCCGCATTGTGGGGCAAACACCCTAAAGACTTCCACTGGCCGAGCGTGGCCTAACTTCCAGTTTAGCCCTCTGCTACCTTGAATGGGGATTAAATGATTTAATTGTCCAGCTCTCCTAGACTTTTCAAATGTTATTGGACCGAATGGATCAAATTCTGATAGTGAAAGGAGTCGTTCCGGAAGGGTTGTGAGCACCTCTTTCACAGTGTTTCGTGCATCAAGTGATGGACACCATTGCTGGAATTACACTGTGGTCACTATGCTTCAGAGCCTGGTGCTCTTCCTGGGGACTTGGTTTCACCACAACAACTTTATAAATTGAGTGTCTGTCAGTGCCGTGCTGACAGCTTATTAAGCTGACATAAAATCAATGAATGCAGGTTTAAGTAAAATCAGCAATACCACAATGTTAAAGTACCTATTGGTTACAGCAGAAAGTCCATAAATTAGTAGTATTAAGTAAAATGTACTTAACTATCGTACTCTATGCTATATATTTTATAGTTAGATATTATTACTGATGCAATAATGTGTAAGAAGCATATTTTAATGTTGAAGTAGGTTAAGGTTGACTACTTTATAAACTGTTGGGTTGTCAGTATATTACAATGTATTTTAAGACGATCATATAGCTACTTTTGAATCTACAGTAACTATGTAACTATTAACTATTGCTGCTAAATGAAAAGTGTAAAAGTACAATATATCCTTCTGAATTGTAGCGGTATAGATGTATAAAGTATCATAAAATGCAAATACTATGTAATTAGTTACTTTTCACAACTGAATTTGTAGTAGTACCATCTCTATGACTTGGTAGCACCCAAAAATGTCCAGACTGTGTGTATAGTGTGTGTCTGCATACCTTGTACCACTCCTGCAGCTCGTGGTCGGAGAACTCAGTGTTCTCCCGGAGGTCCTGCAGCATCTCTGGCCGCAGCTTGCTGTTCTGTTTCCCCATGGCAACGGGACAGGACTCTCGGTTTCCTTGACAACAATGGTGACTACAGCACTAGCCAGGCCGCTTTTCACACCTGTCAATCAGAGTTAAAAACACAGGAGGTCAGCAACAATTAAGCCCGGAGGAGGATGACCTCCTGTGACAAATGAGAAGCGAAATGCAGTTGGTCAGCAAACAGCCGCACGTCACCGGAGCCACTCAAAAAAAACATGAGTGATTAAAAAGTAGGATTCCTAAAGCAAGGCTGCAGTTTAAAGTAGAATTAAAAGCTCACTAAAAGCAAGCTGGTTACAAAAAAAGATGCTATTATTAGCCAGCTGCAATACATGGAAATTACAGCACAAATTAAATCACCAAGCTAACAATGGAAAAATAACATAAGGCAGTTCCCTACAAGAAGTTGACAAATTGACAACATGACTTTGTTGACAACATGACTTTGTTGCGTCCCAGTTCCCTTGACACGGCATGTTATGCAACACCAAAAGTCTTTAAACTGCTGCATCACATTCGCCAAACATTAAATAATCCTGTGACACACCCCTGTGACGTCAAGTGCTAGCCCACTGATCACATTTCTGGGTTTATTTGACCAGCTGTGTGTTTGTGTGTCAAATCAGCTGCGTGGTGTGTGTGTGTGTGTGTGTGTGTGTGTGTGTGTGTGTGTGTGTGTGTGTGTATGTGTGTGTGTGTGTGTGTGTTTGTGTATGTGTGTGTCTGTCAGTGTGTTCCCAGACCTCCTAATCTTCATCTCAATTTGACCTGCCTAACAAAACACGATTTCAGTGATGCAACTACATAATGAAACTGTCACTGTGAAACAAAATCCCCCCCCATCCGTTATAATGATGCATGGGATTTTAAGGGGACAATTACTGTCACTATTAAAGGGTTAACACTCTACTTACCCTCCCCAATTTTATACTATCAAATGGCCTTGAACTCCTTTAAAAAATAATAATCTATTTATCTCTCCATTCATCGCCTGCATGTCTGTATTTGTGTCCAAATTGAAAAATGAAGGTCTTTCTAAGTTACAAACTAGGGGTTCATATAATGTTATGTACATTTTAAGGTGTTTTTACCCCTTCAAACTGTGATATAATCCATTAAAAATACCTTAATATGTTATAGATCATTAATTCTAAGATTAAAATCAATTTAAGCTACAAATAATGGGCACATGTACTGTATTGTTTGTACAATGTGTTGGTTTTTACCTCTTAAAAACCTCTTGAAGCCAGACTATGTACGCTTTGGTGAATTATGGCCAGGTTTTACTTATAAAACCTAATTATATATAACTTATATTTCTGATAAAACCACTAAAATGTTTATCTGTGACATGACAAAATGTTGCATAATAAGGAATTAACAAGTAATTAAAAAGCTTAAGCACAAGTCAAGAAGGCAGAAAACAGTCATATTAGCACAAACACGTTTATTAATTAACATGACTCTATTACTGATATTTAGACACTGTATGTATACTGTAACAAGTTTGTGTAAAAAAGAGCAACAAACTTGTGCTTGTTAACTTTGCTACCTTGCACTAGACGGCTAATTAGCCTGTGACCAACCATCAAAGTAGTTGCTTCTGTGTGTGAGTGTGTGCATGATTTAAATTACAGTATCACTGGGGCTTGAACACCCCCGATGAGACCCGGCCGACCTTGCCGACCTCCAATCTCTCTTCAGTCATGCTGGTTAATTACACTAACAACTTTGTGTGTGTGTGTTTGTGTGTAAAAGTGAGAACAAGCACAGGGCTGTTTGTGTTTATATGAACTTGAGAAAGTCAAACAGTTTGTGTGATGCATTTGAGGTGGATGGCGTGGGTGTTGCAGGTCTTTATCGCTGCCTGGCGGAGAGTTCACAGAAACAGGTCTGCTAGATGTGTAAAGAAACACTTCCGGTCGTCTCTTTACTCAGCTAATAAAATTATACTCATATTAAGTCACTCATCCTGAAGGCGTTAGACTAAATGCTTGTGCACTGACAGTAATGCTTGCAGCCAATTCCCAGACTACTGAGTAGAGAACTGTTGCCATCAATTATGATTTCCTCTTCTCTGTTCGGGGACCGGTGAATGCAGTACACTCTGAGGATTAGGAAACAATATAATGGATCTTTTCCAGATGGCATTTAAATTCAGCCTATATCTAGACTATGTCTTGGAATGATTTGCTGGACTGCATGTCCACCTGTCGTTAACAAAGACAGATTTCTCTTATTTTTCCCAAAACGCAAGAAAATTTCCTATTTCTGTCCTGTTTAATTGACAGTACACATCTCATTTAATTTGCTTAAGTTATTCTGCAATCACATTTGACAAATATGTCTTCCATCCAAAAGCCACAAAGGCACCCAGCACAGCTCGGTAAGTCTTTAGCCATACACACAATCTAAGGACAAAGGCATATACAAATTAATTTCTCCTCATGGAGTAATTGAGCGGTATCTGCACAGAAAGCTATATGTGAAAATCAGTAGGTCTTGCTATAAACCAGTAATTTGTGTGTTTTAGTTGAGCAGGCAGAGAACAGACTGAGTCTCACATGAGTGTTCGGAAAACACGCACCTGTCACACACGCACACATATTTTTTAGTACCTGTAGAAATTAATCATAGCCGCCCACGGTGTCCAATTGTCATCTAGAGAATACAGCAACAAAAAAAAACAGTCTACGCCTGTGTGTGTGTGTGTGGGGGGATTGAGGGTAGGGGGTGTGAAAGAAGAAAAGCATAGAACAGAGGATGACATTTAACTGGAGAGATAAAGATTCTCTAATTAAAGCAACTATGACATACACAGTAAACCGTTTCTTTAATTGGCTTGTAGCAAAAGGGAGTAACGTAAGTGAATAAAGAGGAAAGTATTTCATCCAACAAAGAATACTGCATATATAGGACTATTTTAACATGTTCCTTGTGCTGAATGATATATATTTAAGAAATGACCCAGCCACTAAAGCACACCAGTTAATAGGAATTAAAGTTTTTATCCAAAATGCAATGAACTGAAAATAAATCCCCTCACACAGCTTTGTGGTTATGTCACAAATCAACTGTAATTACAGCTGATGTTATCATGGAGCTGATTTTATTCATGTTATTTCCCTGCAATACTTTGTTCTATTGTTTGGCAAAGTAACCATCTCTATTAGGGATGTTCATCTCCATCAGGGAGGCTGATACACATCTCCACGCATTGCCAGTGGTCCAATACATTAAACATGTGAAGCAACATCATTTGATTCAACACAATGCAATTCAACGTGATACAATTAGATGAATATATTCTTCTGCAATTCAATATGGTAAACGAAGTTTGATTCTATTTCTTTGGTTCTTCTTAGTCTGCCTGAGAAACAGTTTAGTGAGGGGGACTCAATCTAAATATATTATATATTTGTTTTGAAATAATAAAGTCATAGGGCCTTTACTAATAATTATATATGAATAAATTGTTTTTTAACGATGCTAAGATACAAACGAAAAAATGTCATCTCAAATTGTCACATCTTGAACTGTTGGAGCCGGCACACCGATGCAAATTGATGAATCTTAACCATCCCTAATCTCTGTCAGGTAGGATTAATGTTATCTCAGAGGTGAAGGAAGTTTCTATTTGTAAATGGTATAACTGCTGTTGTAAAAATATGCTTTTTTTGTATTAACATGTGGGACCTACTCTCAACAATTAAACTCTTGCTTTATGCTCTTATCCACGCTTAACTGTCATTCTCCCCAAAGTGCCCATTTGAGCCAAGTGAAACAGTATCTGCACGTGGTAATCCAGTGATTAAGCATTGTACTTTCATAAAGCTGATGACATCATCAGGGTTATTTTCTCAGATTTAACAAAGCTCCTCCAGAGCCACACAGCATGCTGTTGTCTGTGGCTCTGGAGGAGCTTTCACAGGCTGAGTAGTTCGAACCATGAAGAGCAAACTGACCTTTATGTTTAAAATTGGGGGAGTGCCCCTTTAAAAGACTACAAGGTGGTTTTAAAGACAGTTGTCCTGTATGGCATAGAACAAGTAAGACATTCCTACTGTGAGAGTGATGTTCTTTCAGCCATTGTTCCTGTGTTAATGTCCTTGTCTGATTACCAATACATTTTTATTGTATTTTTCCTCTTTACTTTACTACCAATCCACTGTGTTTATTTATGACAATGCAGGTTCTCAGGTACCCTTTTGTTGTTTGAACAACAGCCCTAGAGCCACAGGCAGTGGGATCGAGAGAGGCGAAAGTCTGCCAAATGAGCAGGGAGCTATCGGTGCGGGTAACATCTAGGGAAGTTAAACAGATTTAAAACATTATTATAGCAGCAAACAATTATTTCCTGTGTAAAGATATGGGTGGTTTGTTTAGACTGCCGGTCTGCTCCGTGTGCAGCTGAGTAGAGCGACTGTAACTAGTATTTTCTCATCTACCTCGGCGTATTCAGGATTTATTTAGACCAAACCAGCCTTTGTGATGGTTGGAACAGTGGAAAGACCAACCAAAAGAGTTTTGGTGAGTTTTATTACATTTCTGTCCCATTGTTTCGTATCTATAACATTTAAACACTGTTCATTTGCATATACCACCCACGTTGTAATGAGACAAAGCTGCTTGAAAATCGGAATATGTTACCTTTAACTAACAACCACTGCTAATGTTAATTTATCCCACAGCTACAAAACAAGACACAATGGCTAGCTAGCTAACAAGTTAACAAAATGAATCGGATCAAAACGATGCACAAAGCTCTTATTTCAGAAATTAAACTTTGTTCGGTGCCGTTTCTGCGATGTTTGAGTAGAAACGCAATGAGCTTCTTTGGGCTAATGTTCACCAACAAAGGAAGTGTTCGGTCATCTGACAGCCCTCTACAGGTTCAACAAAGCCCTTGGAGACTAAGTCACAGTAAGTGTAAACTGACAGGCAAACTGCCAGTATTCTCTACTTGCTACAACTGCACAACAAATCCTATAACACGCTGACCTTTTCACTGCACTCGCCATTCTCTCCCTCCCTCCACCTAGTTTTTTCTTTCTTCAACCCAGCTGTGACCTGTGAGAG